GTGGAGCAATGGTGATCAATGCCTAAAAGAATAATGGTAAAATAAGCATTTGGAATAGTGTTATATTAACATATTTGTAAGTAGTTGCTCATTATGGAAATGTGTACTTGATTGAAGCTATATGTGGCCATAGAAACTGCTTTGTGTAATTCAGGACATACAGCTTTTGTGTGTACTCAGCTTATTGCATTAAATTATTATTGTCTTTAGCGTACAATGAGTATTAAAATTACATTAAATAAATCATTGAATGTTATTTTATGGAACTGAACTGTTGTCACTTACTAAAACATCTATAAATCAGTAGTAGGAAAATTTCAATTTCTTAATCTGCTAATACAAGGAATAACGTATGAAAATTTAAACAGATTAAGGCTTGAATTAGTCTGTGATTTACAGCCCCTCCCCATGATTATTAGTCCATTTCTGGTAATATAATTGTAGCTACTTACTCTTGCTAAAAACTTCCTCTTTTTTATAATATACATGAGTCGATAATTTGATGATATAAATAACTTTAAAAAAGCAAAAGTCAGTTGAAAATTACCCATTTTATAAAGCAAAATCAAGAATGAGTGTGGAAGTCAGGCATGGTGGCACATGCCTGTAATCCTAGTCCTTGAAGCCTGAGGCATGAGGATCATGAATTCAAAGTCAGCCTGCCTTACAGAGTGAACTCAAGACTGACTTGGACTATAGTAATATATAGTGAAACTATCAAAACAATGACAACAAAAAAGTAGAATTGGAATAATGAACAGTCTATACAGTAGTATATTGTTTTCAGTAATTAGGGCATGTCCCAACCTGAAAAAGGAGCTGGTAATAATTTATCATGGTTTATAGCTCGATGTCACCCTAAAAGCTCATAGGTGTGGCTTTTGAGAGGCAGCTAGATCACAAGTATGAGATACTGGGTGTGTGATACAGGATCAGTCCTCTAACCTGGATGTAACTGGATTTACTGAAGACAAGCCTCACCCTGGGAGTGGGTGGCACTAACCAGTACACTTGTAGCCTGAATGGAATAAAAAGGGAAGGGAGGCTTGCTGCTTGCTGCCTGCCCTGCCACAGACTGTTTCTCCTCTGCCATGCCCGTCTGCCATGTCATCTTGCCTTGGAGCCAGCTAACTATGGACTGAAATCTCTGCAAACTGAACTGAATAAACCTTTCTTCCTTTAACTTGTGAGCATCAGGTATTTTGTTTCAACAATGAGAAAAGTAAGTCACCTGCATTCGGGGAGTTTCACTGAGTGCTATTAATCTGTACACTTGGGGATATTAGTGTGCACTGACGTAAGTCATATCCCCAGTCATTCTGGGTGTCTTACTCTTCTAATGACTCACAAGTTTTCAAAGGTCTTCAAAGACTAAGGTTACAAGTAATAGAACTTAGCTCAAAACTAGCATAAGCATTGTAGAAAAGGAATTTATGGGTTTATCTAGCAAAATGGGAGAGGACAGAGCTGCCTTCAGGTTTGACTAAATCTGATCACCTAAGGAAAATAAAATGTGTCCTTGCATCTTTTATCCTAATCACTCTTTATAATAACTTTTATTTTTAGTATGTTTATTAGATGCTTAGAGTAATATAAGAGATCTGAGAGTCATATTCAAAGGGGTCCACCTTAGCTTACAGGCATTTAAGTCACAAGGCACTGAATCATTCTGCCATGTTAGAACCTGTATTTCCAAACGATGCCCAACCTGTTCCTGACCAGAGTAAGCATTCAGCAAATGCCTGATGAATGACTGAGGCAGTATTTTGGGATCTAAGGGCAGTCCTTCATCTAAGAAAGCCTTGTCTTTCTGAACAATTCACTGCTATTGTAGCAACTACAGTGAAAGAGAAGATCTAATCTTAACCAGTGTGGTTGAGTATAGAAGGAAAGGTGATACCTTGGCTAACAGTTATTAAGCTTGTAAAGTAAAACTTGATGTTACTGTAGGAAGCAAATACGCAGTCAATGCATTCATTTATCAATGTACAAGTGATGTGGTGTGACGGATGTCTTATGTTTCCATGCTGTTTACTTCTGTCTTTCCACTGCCTTTTTTCCAGGGATGTAAAGGTTATTTGTTTCTAATATTGTTGATTAATATTTATTAAAAAATTTGGATGCAAATAACAATATGCCATAGAGTAAGGGGGATGGATACAAATAAGACTTCTGATTCTTCCTACATCATTTAAATAGGGTTCACTTTGTTCAAACTAAAACATTCTGTTGATACAGTACAGTAGAATGGGATTAAAAAAAAAAAAAGGTCTTAAGAGTAAGAATAGCCAGGCTTGGTGGCACATGCCTGTAATCTGAGCATTTGGGAGGCCAACACAAGAGAATTGCTGCATGTTTGAGGCCAGCCTGGGCTATATAGTGAGTTCGAGGCCAGCTGGAGTAGTCATGGTCTAACCCTGTATCAAAAGCAAACCAACTAAAACCAACCAAACAAAACCTCAGAATGGCTAAAATCCTTTTGCTGCATATCAGCTGTGCGATCTTGGGCAAGTTTTCCCCTTAATCCCTAAAATCAGAGCAATAGGTTTCTTGAGGGAGATTTTGAGGCTTAAATGAAAACACAGGCAAAACGCATCATTTTGTGCTTAATTAAGAAAATGACAAAAAAATCTAGCACCAGATCAAATTCTTTTGTGTGTGTGTGTGTGTGTGTGTGTGTGTGTGTGTGTGTAAGTTTTTTGTTTTGTTTGTTTGTTTTTGTTTTTGTAGTGTGGATTGAATTCAGGGCCCTCATATTGAGTTATATTCCCAGCCCTTTTTATTTATTTATTTATTTTTGAGACAGGGTCTCACTGTGTAGTTGAGACTGACCTGGAACTCACTTTGTAGCCCAGGCTGGTCTTGAACTCACAGCGATCCTCCTGCCTCAGCCTCCTGAGTGATTACAGGTGTGTGCCACAATGCTCGGCTTCAGCATTTCATCTTGAGTGCTGGGATTATAGGCATGCGCCACCACGCACGGCTGGTTTTTGTTTTGTTTTGTTTTGTTTTTGTGTTTGTAGCATCTGCACATTCTGTGGGTTCATTTGGGCTGGGGGAGGACCGAGTGTAAATGGCCAGCAGGAGTAAGTTTGGAGAAATTGCTTATCTCTAAAAAAAATTAACTTTTAAAGTTCCACTTGCAGTGCCAGTTCCACTATTGTTTGAGAGTCAAAATTTAGAAGTAGCTTCTTAGATGAATGATGCTGGGCAAATAATTGCAAGACTGTTTCTAGGATATCTCATACCTGCCCACTTTTTCAAGTTAAACATTCTGTAAAGCATTTTTTTTTAATGTCAAGACTCTAGGTAACTTTAAATTGTGCTTATTTTTCCGTCACTCATCATTGAAAGGCTCATAATGAAGATTTTCTTCCAGGATTTACTCAAACTAGGCAATTGTTTTGCTGTTCAGCCTCTGGTGTTTTCCCAGAAATTAAAAAAATATATATTTTTCTTAGAAAATTTCCTTTGGTTTCTTTTGTCTTGGACAAAATTCTTCCTTCCCGGAGATGTTTTTGGTTATTCTCTTTACCAATCTCTTTACCCTATTTTTCCACTTTAGTGAGCCTCAGCTCACTCTGGCCTTTGTGAGGACGAGGTTCTTACAGGTTTATACCTCTGTTCTTCTGTATCTCTGTACAGTATCTTTATACTTCCTGTTTAATTCAGCTCGGTTGAGCATCATGTGTATTTGTGGAATATTATTGCACCTATGGGGTGGTAATAAAAATGCTTACAATCAAAAGAGGTAGACAAAAGGGGAGAATACGCTAAATGTTAACTTCAAGGCAGATCGGCTTCACAAAAATGAGAAATCAGTAAGGGGACAGACTAATAGACTACTGGAATTTTCAGGGAGAAAGTGGAGTTCAGAAAGGCAGAGAAAGAAAGCAAGGAGAGGGAAGATTTATCTCGTTATTAATAAATTATCCGGGTGGAGTATTAAGAGTCAATCGTAATGCGCAGACGACTTATCTATTTGGAAAAGAGAACGCCGTCCGCGCTATTTTGGGACACAGGGTCACCAGCTTGCTCCGGTCTGCGTCCGGCTGAGCACCTCTACCGAACTGCCGGCCCCGGCGAGCCGGAGCCGCCACCCCGGTGCCTCCACCCCGCCCCG